ATGCGCTAACCTGTCCCTTTAATCTTCTCGTGCCCACCTGATTAAGTCGGTTTAATAACAGATCTTTTTACCTTGGGTTGTGTGTTAATCCATTCTTAGTTTAGTCAAAAAACATCAGCGTTAGTTGCAAGTTATGCGTCATTACTACCAATAGAGCGTTTTCACTCACGTGGCCAGCATCTATGGAAAATTTATTGGAACAAAAGAAAGTGTTTACATAAGAAAAGAGCTCAACTCCCACAAGAATTGCTTGGAGCTCAACATGGCCGCCGTTTCATTGTTTAGGAACACCAATATGGCTTCCGTGACGTCATTTGAAACGTTCTATTACGCATGCGATTCCAATCCTAAAATGCTGGTCGTATGCGCAGTGCGTTTATATTGAGCCAGTACAGTCAAACCCCGTTAATACGGAAACTGAAGAAGCCATATTAGGTGTCCGTATTAAGTGGGTTGAATTGAGAGAAAATGTAGGGACTTTATTTCCCCAGGGACAAAGCAAACTGTCCGTAATAACGAGGTGTCCGTATTAAGTGGGTGTCCGTAAGGCAGGGTTTGACTGCAGAAGTTCGTGAAATCTTATCCCGGTACAGATCACGACTGAAGAGGATCTCCTGCCAATAGACCTTTTAGACTGTTCGCAGTAACCTATTCTCCCGTAAGATTGTCGAGATCGAGTACCTACCGTTACGGGAGGCCACCTTGGTTTTAAAATGTACCGAGTGGGTGGACGTCGGGTTTAAGCGTCCCCCATTCCCTAGTTGTATTTGATACTCATCCCCAGGCTATACGCGGTAAGTAGGCGACTGTGAACAGTTCATAACATGGACCTTTCTGCATTCCACTGTTCCATTCCAATGAAATGAGCTTGAGATTAAATTTCAAACAAAACACTGTATTTTGTCAATAGACCTCTTAGACTGCAAAACAGTCGTACTTTTCTTAAAATCGGTTTTGCAAGGTGCGAAGCGCTGGCTGGTCGATATTTTCGTGCTAAGCACGTGGGCTTCACACGCCCATGGGGTGTGTCTCTCTCCAGTCCCACTCTCCGTTTGCACCCTCACTCCAGACCTTTTCTGCTTGCGTGCGTTCGCGTGCAACCACGTGCATATGTATGCATAATTTATGCGACACAAAAGGTAAATTCCGGCATCGCCTGATCTGAAAACAAAACAGGTCTATTCAAGTCACAAGTTGGTGACTTCCTTCAAAGGAATAGGGGAGAGATCTATCTTTAAGTCCTGCCACAGGCGCACCATCCGAAATGTTCGAGGCATCGTAATGTCACACGCGCTATTTGATCTTATACCGGTCATGCGGGTATCTTGTCTCCACACCTCATGCTTAGTAGATTTCTGTTAGTCTTAAGGATGTCAGTACTCGATATAATTAGATAAACTGTCTCGTTCCTAGGCGTCTCAAGTGTGTTTGGAGAAACGGAAAACGCGACTGAGGGCAATAGTATCGCGTAATGGACCATGGTAACGTTTAGCTTTGACGCAAACGACGCTGGGAAGGGTAATTGAAAAAAACGAGATAAATCAGTGTCTTGGTGGCCTGCCTACTCGTAAAACACTAAATAACAGCAAGACAAATCGTTGTGAATCAAAACCACGATAATTTTGCCATAAAATAAATCCTATTGACCAAGCTTGTTCTGTCAAGATAACTGGATATTGGCGTCAAGATAACTGGATATTGGCGTCATTCTTTTTTTCATTGGCCTCGACTTCGTCTCAAAGGGAATTTGGCCAAATATCCTGTCATATTGACCTCACGCTTGGTCAGTAACGCGTATTTGGAAAGTATAATGATGAAAATAGAACCGTCGTCACGCCTTAAAACATTCCGCTTTCGTTTTGACAGGCTGTTTCCCTTCGTCATTGAAGCAGAAGGTCAATGATACCTTATAAACACTTCGTATCCTCGAAATTTGCTGCCTGAGTCAGGAGTTCCAGACGGTAAGACCAGGGCGGATAAAGGTTGGGCGGTGAAACGAGCGCTCCGCTCTTCATTTAATGTGTGATGCGGAGTAGGACTGGCACGAGCGCTCTTTCCGCGCTTCCGGTGCGCTTGAAGGCCGGCGAAATTTTCCTTTTTGCAAACCGGAAATCCTATTTTCTTTCTGTAATTTCAGGCTACAATGTTAAATAGATAAATTCGTTTCATAACAATATCAATAAACAGTTTCATATGTTTGTGTCTGTACGTCTATAAGTCAAACTTGTTGGTCGTATAATGCCAAAATTTGAGTTTAATTTGAAAGTGTTGAATACCTCCTCCTTCCACTAAATATCACCTAATCGTCTTTCGCCGTTTCGTTTGCAAAAGCTTAACACTTCTTAACCTCAATTTTTACATATGTTAAAGGGGGATAAATTTTGTACAACATAACAAAAAATTAGATTGATATATATTGATATAGTGGCGTTGTACTTCTTCAAACTTTGCTTCTCGGGTGCAACGCGCTATGGCGATTCGCGCAATGCGTTGCAAATCCGGCAACCGCATGTAAAGAAAGTTTATTGAGGTTAGTTGTAAGGTTTTTTCTCAGTTTTCCTCTCTAAAACAAAACAAGGTAAACAGTAAAAACTGAGGGGAAACTAATTTTGAAGTTTCGAAGAAACAGAAAGACGTATGAGATGTTTTTTTCAAAATTAAAAAGAAGGATGATGGTGATTGAACTGATTAGCATAATTTCACCTTGCACGAGCTGCACGCATTTATAAAATACACGTCATCTAGTTATGAAACACGATCTGCTGTCTTTTAGTTTTTCCATGGATGACATGGATGAGATTTTCCTTCCTGTTTCAGACAGTACTTAGTTGTTTTTGTTTTGGAATAACATCGACATTGGTGGGTATCAGAACCAAAATATAATTCAGTGGTAGAGTCATGGAAGAAATAAAAGAAACCCTTTGAAAGAGATGTTTGTCTACTCCAACTAAACCTCCCGCAAAAAATAGCAACATTTGCCTCTCGGAGACAGCGTACCAGCACAAAGGAACGAGGAAGAAGTGCAAGAAAACAAATCAAGCCGCCATAATTCAGTGACAGCGGCAGTGTCTAATGTACAAACCACATCACAAGCCCCGACCGAAGTCGAAAACAAGCGACATTTCTAAGCAGAGTCCCAGTCCACTGCATCACACCTTTTTGCTCGGACGCGCTCGTTTCACCGCCCAACCTTTATCCGCCCTGGGTAAGACAAATAAGGCAATGAGCAGCCGTTTTTCTACACGCGGTCAAAAACCTTTACTTTGTATAAGAAATGGCATGTTCAGTTATATGGTAGGATTGAATGGTGCGGAAAGCTTCTTTGTCGATTATTCAGACTATGAGATTGTTCAAAAGAACGTCGAACGGATGGTAAGGAATAATAGCATTTTTGTGACCATTTTTTACCGTTTCGGTCCATTGTTCGAGCTGCCGAAGTAAGCTCTTGTTTTGGAACGGTCTGGAAGCAAAATTAAGTGAAAAGAAGCTTCGACCAGCGGCAATAACGTAGAGCCAATACAAAAGAACTATTGCGCACTTAGAAGTAACTTTTTTAAGTTAACTCTTTTTGGATCTTTGTTAAACTTTTCAAAAAGAAACCGAAAGCCATAAGCTTTATGTTCTGATGGTTCGTTTACCATCAAAACTCTATAATCTTCATCGAGAGTCTCTACAGATGAAGCATGACGGACTGTTTTGCATAGTTATGTCCTACAAGTATTTGGCCTTAGTTTAGTGAAGATATTTCTAGTGTAAAGTAAATCCTATCGAATTGGAAAGGGAAACTGAATATAATGTAATCTGCAGAACAGGCGTCATTTCTTCATGTTTTTTAGGCGATCGAGTGAAGATATGTATGAGGTGAGCGCGGAGGGCGAGAAAGCGCTTTCACCCGTCGCGCGTGTCTCGCGCTTTACGCACGCTTTGTGCCCAAAAAAATAGCGGCTGTTATGTAGACTGTAAATAAAGGAGGGACGGTAAAATAGGGAGAAAAAATAAAAGTTGATCTAATGAAAAGGGCATAAAATTTGCCCTACTAGTTACCAAAACTTTCGAAAAAGCGCCCCCCCCCCCCCACCCCCCTCTTGTTAAACTACCTACCGATTGTCACTGCTGGCTCTAAACGTTATACTCGGTTTGGGAACCCATTACCTCGTCCAAGTGAAGTCAAGCTAATTTTTAGCCTTTTTTATCTTCACTTAGTAGTATCTGACACTGAATAAGTTTGGGTCAATTTAGGTCTCTGGGAAGCTGCCCACCTACCCCTCCCCTAAGCCATCATTTTGCCCTAAGTGAGAAGTAAGTGTTAATGTTAGCTAAGGGAGGGGTAGGTTGGCGTTTCCCAGAAACCTAAACTGATCCATAAGTTCTTAGGCAAAAATACATTTATAAACTATTGTGGTTCCATTGAAAAAGGTACCCGTTTTGAGACTCTAATGAACAAAATCCGTTTTCATGAGACCAAAACGACTATAAAAACCATACCGTTGTTCTACACACCAATATAGCTTGCAAAGGGTATTACCCCCGGGTATGTTGTCACTAAGTACTGGAAAAAATCTAGGCTTAGTTGTCACAATAAAGAACAGTTAGCGACAATTAACAGGCGCATCTATGAGCTGATTTGTGAAATCAGGACACATCTCGCCGCTCCTGTGGGTAGTGGTCATTGGTGGAAAACCGTAGACGACATCACACAACGTCGCACCCACTCCAACTCGGTTGTATAAGATAACACCTTTGCCAACCAGTTGAATGATTATTTTCATGAACTTTGTACTGACCAGAACTACATTGCACCAGTTGATGTGGTTGTCAGGAGCGAAATCGAAGTACCTGAGATTCCTGAGAGGCTTGTTTGGAAAAGTCTTAGCAACATCAAACGAACAGCTACGGCTCCTGATAGCATCCCATTTTGGGTTTGGAAGGAACATGCTGAGATTTTATCACCAATTCTCAGTTATATTTGGAATTTGTCTCTGCGCAGACACACCTGGCCTATGTCATTGGAAAGATCGAATATCAATCCGATACCCAGGGTTGACATACCTAAAGAAAAGTCTGACTACCGTGGCATAAATATCACTCCGCTTATAGCCAGGGCGTTTGAGAAATAGAGAATAATACATGGTCGCTTGGAGATATGGAATTTATCTTCGAGTGTTCACATCGATATCGAACGAGGGGGGGTAGCGAACGAGTGAGATATCGAATGTGAACACGAGAAGATAAATTCCATATCTCCAAGCGTCCATGTATTATTCTGTTTATTATATAAACATACTGATGACGGCGTTTCTGATGATTTTCCGTAGATTTCCGACCACCTTCCGAAGATTTCCGAAGATTTTTCAAATTGTCCCGAAGGCCAGACGAACGTTCCCGAACATTTTCCGAGAATTTCCGAAAATTTCCGAAGATGTCCGAAGATTGCCGAGCACTTTCGAGGAAGACCCGAAGATGTTTCGATGATACACCAACGAATTTAAGTACAATTTAAGAGAGAAACCTGATGTCAGTAAAATTATCGATATCTTCACATGTAAATATCGTATTTTTACGTGTGTTCAGATACCACATTTCTCGGTGGTAGAAATCCTTGTTAAACACTGTAGTTTATATAATAAAGCTGTTTATAACACCTTTGGGAAGGAGGCTGTGGAGGAAAATCTGAGCACCACACGATTGCTTACCATGAAAGTGGAAATTGCACTAGTGCACTGTTAGTGATCCAGCACTTGATCAACAAACACTTAGATAATCCCCCCGGGACGGGGTACTCCGCATATGAAAGGGGTGGGGATGCTCGTCGGAAATTTTGAATTAAACCCCTAAAAGAGACCGATCTGGGCGTGGCCCAAGTTTTTTTTGACCCCTAAAAGAGACCATGTTAAAACACAGACAATATATATATTTTTATATTTTTTCGCGTACAACCCTAAACGAGACCTTCACGGCTAAATATGATGGCGTTTTGCCCAGAACACCCTAACGGAGACCAAAATCCGAAATTTACACCCCTAAGCGAGACGACGAGCATCCCCACCCGTTTCCTATGCGGAGTCCCCCCCCCCCTCCCCCCGGGGATAATCCAGACTGTGAGGCAGTGCGGGTATTCGCAATGGACTTCAGCAAAGCGTTCGACTCAGTCTGACACGAGCTACTATCTAATAAAGTAAAGTTGCTGCCCCTGAATGCCTATATCATCAACTGGTATCACAGTTTTCTTTATAACAGACAACAAACGTATAGTCCACAACAACCACCTTCACGAGTGGAAAGGAGTAACTAAGGGGACAACGTAGGGTAGTGTGATCGGCCCCTACTTATTTAACGTGTTTCTGAATGACCTTGAAATCTAGCTAGGTTCCACTCCCACCCTTTTCAAGTACGCAGATGACTCAACCATTGTCGCACCAGTGTGGGGGCAGTGATACGTCAAGTGATTTAGTGGAGACGTTTTTAACCTGGGCGAACTGTAATTCCATGAGCTGTAACCCTAACAAGTGTAAAGAACTTGTCATAAAGAAGAAAGGGGAACTCCACCTTCTATCGTGCTGTACGTAATATAGCACAACATGCCACTCGTGATTTATTAGGTTTGACCTTTCAGAGTGGCTGTAAATTTTTTGCACACATAAAAGCTAAACTGTGCAAGGCCAACAAATGTCTACACGTGCTGAGAGTATGTAGAAAAGAGTGCTACAGCCAGACAGAAATTCATTATCTCTTCTATAGTATTGTTCTCCCTAACATAACCTACGGACTATCTGTTTATGATGCCTCCGATGCGGAAATTAATGTCCTTCAGCAACTTTTAGACAGGTGCTGCAAGGTGCGCTTTGTATCTAAACAGTTAAATATTAGATCATTACCGCAAAAACAAGAAAAAGCGATTTTAAAAAAGTTAAACAGCGTGATAACCACCCTCTGAAGGTATGCTTACCGCAAGAAAAGAACAATTTAACCTAAAACCTTAGACGTAAAAGCTGCCAAAGGCCCAAGATAAACACCGAACGTTATAAGAACACATTTGTAAATAGATTATTTTTTAAATACAACCTTTTATGATATTTTATGTCCCATATATGTAACTAGTTTTTCAAATTTTTTAATCTTTATATTCTATTGTAATTTAGCTGAACTTTTAATCTTTTTATCCTGTAACGTTAGATATCTATTTTTATCTAGTAAGCAATAAAGACATTTATTATTATTATTATTATTAATTGCAGAGAAAATCTTTCCTCAAAGATTGAAGCATCAAACGCACATCAAGTATGGCATCTTCAAAAGAATATACGGAACAACAGCTAAACTATTACAGAATTTGTTACGTAACTACTGATATACTGGCGGAAGGTCTGAGAGAAATATTTAAACAAGAATGGGACAAACTGTACAAAACAACAAAAGGAGAATGGAAAGACGAGCTACGTAATGGAATAGACTTTTATAACGGAGAGTCTCCTCGAAATCAAAAAAGAAACGCTCATTTTTTGGCCACTATGAAAAACGGAAACAGAGGGGAATGGGATTGTACAATGCTATTTTACGCTATCCTTTTCTCTGATTCCGTCGGGCCACGTCTTAGCGCAATAGTCAGAAAAAATTTAAATGATCTACGTAATTTCAGGAACAAAGAATTTGCTCACATGCCACAAGGTAGTCTCTCTGAGATAGAGTTTCAGAATGCTATTAGCAAAGTTGATGTTGCGTTTCAAGCGCTTAGTCTTCCCACTGTAAAAATCCAGGACCTGAAATATCAGAAAACATTTCCAACAAAAGATTTAACAAAGGTCCTCAAAGAAGTTGATAATCTGAAACAAGAAGTTCAAGAAAAAGAGAGTCAGCGCCAGGTCCTTGAAGATCAACTCCAAAATGAAGCACTTTCATTTTGTGTTCTCCCTCCTAAACCTTCGCATGAAATCGGTGGTCGTGAAAGTGAAGTAGCCAAAATAGTCCAACAGCTGAGGGAACTAAATGAGTCCAGTGACAACAGGTTGAGTTATCTATACATCTCAGGGAATCCTGGAAGCGGCAAATCACAGCTAGCTGGCCTCGTAGCTGAGAGATTCTACGACGAAGTCAAAGAAATGCCAAGTGGGTCTTCGTTTGTAATGACCTTAAATGCTACAAGTCCAGATTCACTTCTGGAGTCGTATGCCTCATTTGCTCGCCATTTAAAGTGCCCAGACTATTCAATTGTGGAAACCCTCAGCTCAAACGACTCGACCGTGGACGAAAAGATCACTAATCTTAAGATGCTTGTCGCTGTAAAAATTAAGTGTTACACGTCGTGGCTACTGGTGGTTGACAATGTCACTACTCTGACTTCAGTGCATGTCCATTTACCACAGTTTGAAAACGAAGCTTGGGCGAGGGGCCAGTTGCTGATTACGACCCAGGACACAACATCAATTCCCTCAGAAAACGTTTTTGTTAACCACATCTCGGCAAGCAAAGGTATGGAGCCCAATGACGCCCGTTCATTATTGTCCAAGGTTTCCGGTATCCCAGATAGCGAGCTAGTAGGAACAGTAGCACAAAGACTGGACTATCAACCTCTTGCTTTAGCAGGCGCTGCCGTCTTTGTTAAAGAGATTCGGCAGGACAAAGTATCGAGGCATTTTGGGTGGGAGGAATACCTGAAGATCTTAGAAAAAGGCAAAAGAAAGAAAACGGAGTATTTTCTTGTCAACACCAATCCAGTTTATCCAAATTCAATGACCAAAGCAATAACGTTAGCCGTCGAAACACTGATGGGATTCGACAAATTTCAAAAAAACCTTTTCACTTTTCTTGCCCTCTGCGCTCCACGACCATTGAACGTCGACATAGTAGTTAGTTACATCATGAACGCACATGAAGAGTTTGATGAGGCGGACAAGGAACTAATTCGCATGAGATTAAAAAGAAACTCACTTCTGCTGTTCCAAGATGACGAGGGTNGGAACAGTAGCACAAAGACTGGACTATCAACCTCTTGCTTTAGCAGGCGCTGCCGTCTTTGTTAAAGAGATTCGGCAGGACAAAGTATCGAGGCATTTTGGGTGGGAGGAATACCTGAAGATCTTAGAAAAAGGCAAAAGAAAGAAAACGGAGTATTTTCTTGTCAACACCAATCCAGTTTATCCAAATTCAATGACCAAAGCAATAACGTTAGCCGTCGAAACACTGATGGGATTCGACAAATTTCAAAAAAACCTTTTCACTTTTCTTGCCCTCTGCGCTCCACGACCATTGAACGTCGACATAGTAGTTAGTTACATCATGAACGCACATGAAGAGTTTGATGAGGCGGACAAGGAACTAATTCGCATGAGATTAAAAAGAAACTCACTTCTGCTGTTCCAAGATGACGAGGGTTGCTGTTTTATTCGACTTCACCAGGTTGTGCATGATGCCATAAAAACTGTAACAAAAGAATGTTCAGAAAGCCAAACCGATGAGGTCGTTAGTGGGGTCATTACATCATTCAACGAATTCATCGGTGCGACTCCACGAGAAAATAAGAGACTGCATACCAGACACATCGCTCCACATTTGAAAGCCTTAACTATGGTAACTGACAAAGTGTTTTTGCCAGATAATTTCTTTCAAGTTCATGATACGGACATTTCCGAAAAATGCAAAAACCTTGGAAATATTTGTAAAATGCATTGTGAATTCGAAGGAGCAAAAGCATATTATGAATATTCATTTACTTTTAAGCTTCAAGAGCTCGGCCCGAGACATATTGATGTTGCAACAAGCTACACGAATTTAGCTTTAATTTACAAGAAATTAGGTGACTTCGAGCAAGCCAAAAAGTTTCAGCAACGTGCTCTTGACATCCAACTGGACAAGCTCGGCCCGAAACACGTTGATGCTGCAGCAAGCTACAGGAATTTAGCTTTAATTTACAAGGAATTAGGTGACTTCGAGCAAGCCAAGGAGTATCAGCAACGTGCTCTAGACATCGATCTAGGCAAGCTCGGCCCGGAACATGTTAATGTTGCAAGAGACTGCAATAACTTAGCTTTAATTTACCAGAAATTAGGCGACTTCGAGCAAGCCAAGGAGAATCAGCAACGTGGTCTAGACATCGATCTGGAAAAGCTCGGCCCGGAACATGTTGATGTTGCAAAAGACTTCAATAACTTAGCTTTAATTTATGAGAAATTAGGCGACTTCGAGCAAGCCAAGGAGTATCAGCAACGTGCTCTAGACATCCAACTGGACAAGCTCGGCCCGGAACATGTTAATGTTGCAAGCGACTTCAATAACTTAGCTTTAATTTACCAGAAATTAGGCGACTTCGAACAAGCCAAGGAGAATCAGCAACGTGCTCTAGACATCGATCTGGACAAGCTCGGCCTGGCACACGTTGATGTTGCAATAGACTTCAATAACTTAGCTTTAATTTACCAGAAATTAGGCGACTTCGAGCAAGCCAAGGAGAATCAGCAACGTGCTCTAGACATCGATCTGGACAAGCTCGGCCCGGAACACGTTAATGTTGCAAGAGACTTCTATAACTTAGCTTTAATTTACCAGAAATTAGGCGACTTCGAGCAAGCCAAGGAGTATCAGCAACGTGCTCTAGACATCGATCTGGACAAGCTTGGCCCGGAACATGTTAATGTTGCAAGCGACTTCAATAACTTAGCTTTAATTTACCAGAAATTAGGCGACTTCGAGCAAGCTAAGGAGTATCAGCAACGTGCTCTAGACATCGATCTGGACAAGCTCGGCCCGGCACACGTTGATGTTGCAAGAGACTTCAATAACTTAGCTTTAATTTACCAGAAATTAGGCGACTTCGAGCAAGCCAAGGAGTATCAGCAACGTGTTCTAGACATCGATCTGGACAAGCTTGGCCCGGAACACGTTGATGTTGCAAGAGACTTCTATAACTTAGCTTTAATTTACCAGAAATTAGGCGACTTCGAGCAAGCCAAGGAGCATCAGCAACGTGCTCTAGACATCGATCTGGAGAAGCTCGGCCCGGAACATGTCAATGTTGCAATAGACGTCAATAACTTAGCTTTAATTTACCAGAAATTAGGCGACTTCGAGCAAGTCAAGGAGAATCAGCAACGTGCTCTAGACATCGATCTGGACAAGCTCGGCCCGGAACATATTAATGTTGGAACAAGCTACTCGAATTTAGCTTTAATTGACAAGAAATTAGATGCCTTCGTGCAAGCCAAGGAGTATCAGCAACGTGCCTTGGCTATCAGAGCAGACAAACACGGCCGACAAACAAATAAGGTAAGGACTGCTAACAGACGCAAAAAACTATATTTCTTCCTGAAAGATTTTACGCAGTCTTGAATGGTGATCGCGTTGGCACTGTGTCTTTGAAATTTGTNTTAGCTTTAATTGACAAGAAATTAGATGCCTTCGTGCAAGCCAAGGAGTATCAGCAACGTGCCTTGGCTATCAGAGCAGACAAACACGGCCGACAAACAAATAAGGTATGGACTGCTAACAGACGCAAAAAACTATATTTCTTCCTGAAAGATTTTACGCAGTCTTGAATGGTGATCGCGTTGGCACTGTGTCTTTGAAATTTGTTAAAATCTGAAATGACTGAACTTTTCAGTTTTTTTTTTTTACAGCAGCATAAGTTGCGTCTTAAACTGCGAGAATCTTCTTTGCATTTTTTCTTCCGCAGTTCCAAACTATGAAATTCATATATTCTTTATTAATAATTTTAATTTGATAAACTCAAAAACGTTTTACTTGCATTAATTATGGAATCGATAGCTGTGACGTTGGTAGAACACCGCTTAATCCAGGTTTGACTGTAACAGTTTTCGCTAACGCTCTATTCCTGCTTTCCGTATCTTCAAGTTTCTTCTAATGAAAAAAACCTATTAGTCCTTGCAGATTATTCATGAAACTGAAAGACATTTATTACAATCCAAAAAAGAAGAAGATGATGATGATGATGAGGATGATGATGAACGAAGCAGTAGTAAGGAAGGTAAAGCAAAAATCATTGTTAAGTTAAAAACGTCTCCTCGTACTAACTTGTAATCAAGGGCGCGTTTCTTTAAAAAATATCCGACGAGGTTTAATCGCTGGTCGATGTTACAGTCTTTAAACTTGACTCGACAAAGAAACGTGAGTAAAAACCCGGAGATGGATTCTTCAGTGTGCCAACAATATTTTTCAGGGGGTAGCCAGGATTCTTGTTAGAGGTACGCACAATTCTCGAAATGCCCCTGCCTCGCCCCCCAAATGTTCTCAAATTTGATTTTACTGTATGCTTCAGCGTTTTTACTGGATATGAAAGGACGTAACGACGTAATTTGTAAAACTTGTTGTTGCCTTTTTGGGTTTATTTACTGATGTACGTCAATCGCTCCTCTTTAAAAAGAAAAGCAGATGCGTTAATCCAAAAAAGTAAAAAAAAATCGTCCAGGTTTGGTCAAGTCTCCAAATTCATCCTTTCCTCCTTCGATTATAATTTGTTTGCGGTAAAACCAAAATGGAAGTGACACGTTCATTGAAAAACAACGATGGCGTGAATATTAAATACGTAACGACAACTTGCTCAAATTGGCAAATGTAGTTGAATTTTACTGGAGTAAATGAATCGTTGGGACTGCATCCACGCTTGAAATGAGAAGGAAAAATTTATCATCGTGTGTTTATTTCTATGCCCTCCAAACAACGTCGCATAAGAAAATATCACGTCGTGGTCGTGCAGAGACGGCAAAATGTACCAAACACCGTGCTACATATGCAAAATTTGTTTCAATTTTTAAAGCTTCTGTTTTTTGGCGTTGTTCTCGTTGTCATCCCCATCGTCATTGCTTAAGCCTCCCAGTTTTACCGAATGCGTTTTGTGTCCGAATGAATATTCTAGTGTAAACGTAACGCCTACGCCAGCAATCTAGTGGTATCTCAGACTTTAATTTGCAAATGAGTGATTCTTTTGCCACTATTTGCCGCATTATTTTTGACCGACGAAGCACCCTACGTTGATGTAAAATCGCGCCCTAGTTTGTCTAGTGCGAAGACAGGCCGAGGTGAAACAACGCGTTTACGCTTTATACAATCCAGTCTTGTTATTTGCACTTTTTTCGCTATTTCATTGAAGGTTGAAGATTCGGTCCACCGATAACTCACGTCTCTTTTCTGCAAGGCGACATTCGGGTGTAAAAAGAAAAATTAAACAGTCCGTTGTTAAATGCAAAAAATCCATGCTTGAACAAGGACCTCGATAATACTAAATGTTATGAGCCAAAATGTAGATTGGGCGTGTACTGGTGACTTCACACAGCCAGATGTGAGATCAGTTTGTTCATATTTTGATACATATAAGTGCGCATTTCAATGTTCCAGCTTGAAGACCCTTCAACTTATTTTCTTTCTTAATTTTTCTTCTTCTCTTTCTATTCTTTTTTTAGTTTAGGGTTAAAATATGGATAAGGCAATTTCCCACGTCACTTGCCCCATCTCTTCCTAGATCATACAATATAAATCATTTATACCATACAGTGCAGGTATGTCCTTAACAAAATGTTATGTCAAATTACTTTTAAATATAATCAGATGATGATCTTAATTCAGCAGTTTCTTACCTATAGACTTTTACAGCAACTCCACTGATAGGAACCTAACCTAACCTACAATTTTCTTATGTGGAGGGGGCTTAAAATGAAAATTTTAGCGTAACAGGTTCTTAAAACCCAGGTTCTTATACGCGGGGTATTACTGTACTAGGGTAATAAAAGTTGGCTAGTATTGGCTTCTATTATGATTCCTTTTTTTGTTTTTGTTAAGATGCTAAGAAGAGAGAGAAGAAGTCAGGAAATGGCTGTCGACTTTGTAGATGTCAATAATAAATATTCAGCTTCCATTGTTGCATTTAGATGAAGTAGTGTTATGGCAGCCTTTTACTGTACGATAATTTTTACTGTAGTAAGTGGAAAATTGGTCAGGTTAACCGTGATGTAGACTGTAGTTTGTAAAGTACTAGGCATTTATTTGCACTCTGAGAAGGAAATTATGCAATCCCGAGAAGACAAGAGGCCCACGTTGAATCAAGTCTAAATTAGACTCGCACACTGAGGGTTGATTTCCAGTCTCGCGTAATTTTTACGTGGGTACGTGAGTAAAATTTACGTTCGCATATAAAATAGAGGCAATGCATGAAAGGTCGCTCGTAAGCGTAAAAGTTGAACCTGCTCAACTTCTCGTTTAAGCTCGGCACTTTTTATCTTGCCTCTATTTTATTTATGTGATTAAAATTTACCTGCGTTAACGTACGTAGTCAAAAAAGTTCCAGTGGAAATTAACCTTAATGGTTTAAATTTCGTCGAAGAGTAAACCATATCATTACATAGCACTTTTATATCAGCGTGCCAGCAAAAGATGGCTTAAGTTAAACATTCCTATTTGCGAGGAGAGACGGCTGTGTTCGTACGCTAGCCAAATATTAAAGTATGAAATAGCTGGATTATAGAGTTGTACTCGTGGAAACTGGATTTTTGACCACATTTTAATTTGTACCTTCTGCAAGAATATTGATAGAGATCTTTAGATTTTAAGACCGGAACGATTACGATGACGAGATTTGCTTAATACCAACTCAAGTAGTGCACGCGTAAACTAAGGTGGGTTTGGCGGGAAAATGCGATAGCTGTCGTCATTTACGGGTTTCATGGTGGCGGGAACTTGTAAGTTATCAAATGTTAGAAGTGATCAGGAGAGCAGGGACCGCGGAGGGGGAGGGGCTGGTAGGGCCGCGGCCCCACCACTTTTTTGCGCCCCCGCCCCCACTTTTTGCGCTAAAAAGAAAAATAATTAAAATTATAAAAAAAAAAGACTTGAAACAAGTTTTTTTCCGTCTATATTCCGCTATATTTTCTGTATTTTCTTTAATTTCAAACGCCAGGCATTTTGTGGGGCTCCTGTGCTTTTCGCGATAATTGTGCTCCGGGACCGACTTGCCCCTTGATCAAACGCCATGCCTTGGCCACCCCTTCGCTTCTTTCGGCAGCGTGTTTTGTACTTTCAGCTCCGGCAGAGTTTTTTATCAGTTTTATCCGACGAAATGAAGAAAATTACTAGCTTTTTCAAGCCAAACGAAGGTGAGTAGTTGTTTTGAGTTGATAAAAGTTTTATCTTTTGTCAGTTTCTCCTTTCGAATCAATGAAATATTCGATGGCAAGAAGAATTACATTACTTGAACAGTGAACGGCCAAAGTTAGAAATTTTTCAGATCACTTCAGTGTAGTATTTTCTATACTAAAATTGTAATCGCGTCTTTTCTCGCATCGAATCTGAACTGACCGTGTATGTTGGCCGACCTATAAAGAGCAACAAATACACTGGATAAAGTATGCAAAGTCACGCGACAGAAACAAATCAAATACTATGATTTTATTCGTTTTTGCGATTCAATATGAAAAAAATATTTTCAATTGTCAGCCCTGCCACTTTTCACCTTGCTCCGCGGTCCCTGGAGAGGGCTCAACTTGTTTTCTATAAAAATAACCGCGCCATCGTTTCTGGTAAAAACATGAAAATTGAAGCTTCTGTGTTGTCTAGTTTATGTTTTAGAACAAAACAAAAACAAAACAAAACAAAAAAAATAAAACAACAATTATCAAAAGCAAAGAAAACTTTAAGTCAAATCTCGTCCTGGTAATGACCCTCCAATCTAAAGGACTCTATTGTTGCATTTTGATGTCAGGTAGTCGGATTGTGAGTCAACAATAAAGTGTTTTCAATTGACTTCATGGAGTCCATATTAATGTTCTAGGACAAGGAAAAGACGGTCATGTTGTCTTCCCTAACCAATCCCGTGTGAGGTGAACTCTTTTCTTATGTAAACGCTTTCTTTTGTTCCAATAAAGTGGCATAGATGCTGGCTACGTGAGTGTGAACACTCTATACCAGGGGCTGATTATACTAGAGAGACTAAGGCCATAGGAATCCGGATAGGCTGAAACCGCGTATTGAGTCATTGTTGCGCGTTTTCCATCAAATCGTTGGTTTTTCGACCAAATGGTCGCATATCAAGAATGTTTTGCGTGGTAACGCTACAAGCGAACTCAATAAAACACGACAATGAAGAGGAAAGCGAGAAAATAAAATACGCAACAGGTCTAAGAAGTAAAAATAAACCTCTGAAAGTGCGGCACTCTTTTTGGCATTTTCCTTTCACACGATTAACTAAAGTCAAACTTGACTAAGACAACACTGATTAGTGAACTTTCTTGGAGGCTAATTATGTACCGGTAATAACAAAAGAGAGGTAGGAATCGCCGATAAAATGAATAAGCATATCTGCTCATGCAATGGATAAGAAAAACTGGCCAAGAACATCCCAGTTACAAGCACCCTTCAAGAACAATACATAGAAAAGAGGGCATCTACACATTTCGCGTTTTATTTCTGTGACTGAAGAACACATATACCGTGTAGCTGCAAAATTTAATACTTCTAAAAGTTGTGGACTAGGAAAATCTCAAGTGTGCTTCTTAAACCTTCCAACCCATACATTCTAGACGTGAAAAGTGATATAATTAACCAAAGGCTATATTTCCTGACGACTGGAAAAATGCCCATTTTTCTCCAAAGCGAATGCTGACAATTACAGACCGATATCCCTCGACGAGAGAATGGCGCACACGTAAGAACTCGAATAGCCTGCGTGGCAGGCGCGTGGAATTAATAGAGATGGAAGTGCAATAGAGACACCCTCCCGGTGTCGGCTACATTTAATAATAATGATAATGACAATGATATATGATTCTTGACCCTCAACTCCCTTCCAATTTATTCGAGTGTACGTACCCCACTGGCCATGACCTATGAAACTGCGTGAACAAATATGCGAGCTCCTTTCATAAACTGACGTAAGTAATCCCTAATGAAAATAAAACCAGTTGCCACGCCAGGGAAAGTTCAAACTTCCTACTTTCGTTTTGATAGTTTTCCCTTCCGCATGATTCAAGCGAAACCTCTTTACTGTTTTGCTGCCTGCCTGGTGCCTGACTAAAAGCTACAATCTGTAAGTCAGATACAGTTGAAAGACGTTTTTTTTTTCAGTAATTTCAGTTTATGTTACAGTGTTACAATTAATTTAATACAACGGCTAGACTTACGCTAGGGTACAAGAAATGTTGCATTTGATGTGTTACATTGAAAGTGTTCGACTTCATTTTTCCACTACCTTTTTGTGACCTCACCGTATCTGGTATTGTGCAAACAATCACGTAAATGTCTGGCCATCAGCCACGGTTAAAGATGTAGAGGGAAATTCTATTATGTTGAGCTCAAGGATGTGGTGAACAAGATAGAACTGATTGTCGCATACACGGTACATAAAGGCTTTGTGTGTGAGCCATAAGCTACGCAGGGCATTCGTGTTTTTCTGAAGGGGGAAGCGGTTGTCTAATATTGAAGGACCCTTGATGATGCATAGCGGAAGTTGTTGCATTAGAAATGTTTAAGTTCAATTTTCAAGCTGCAAAAACATTAGTTGTATAGGCTATCATATTTGACGAAATTGGCGTATTAATTTCGGCACGCTCAACACCGGGTCAGAAATCAAGTGAGTTTGTTTTTATCCGGCCTAATGATCCAAAAGCAGTCAACAATGGAAGCAATGCTAACTTTAAAAAACGGTATTTTATGTTCAAGGTTCTTCTACTGTTTGTGATCCTGTAATCCTAACGAAATTAGCGCAAACACATTGCGGTTTACATGTTTTCCTTAAAGTTAAATGAAACTTGTTTTGACAGAGACTGAACTACATTGTACTCCAACATTCCTCAGGTGATAAGAACATGATTTGACAAGCGTCAAAAGCAAAACAAGCGAAGTCATTTCGAATTACCTAAGCCTGTTTCAAACGTCGTGCTACGACCGTGCTAAGATGGCTCGACTGTAGCTCGACTGCAGAACGACACTAGCACGACGGTTTCAGACGTCGAATTGAATTCGGTCGAACAGAACGGCTGTTGCCGAAAACAAAACACAAAGATAAACAAACGATTTAGCAAACTTTTAATTGTATTCTAACGTATTTATGATTTCTGAATTGAGTTCGGCACGGCGGTAGCAGGACGTTTGAAACAAAGTCGAGCTACTTCCATGTAGCACCGCAGTAGTACGACTTGGTTTCAAACCTCGCGCTGCTGCCGTGCTAAAGTCGAATTTAATTCGATCAATTGAGTTCGGCATGGCAGTAGCACGACGTTTGAAACGGGCCTTACGGCACTCTTCTGAACGCAGAACGCACTGGAATATCTGTCGCTATAATAATTTCCCTGATATCCATACACTCCATGCGTATCCAATTGTTTTGAATTATAATCGGACAGTCGTAATACTATCTGTGAAGTCTGAATTACATGAGTAAGACGTTGAATACGTTTAAAACGTAACCGATCAGAAGCACGTACGTGAAGAATGTTAAAACATCGATTCTGTCTGTATGGACTTTAGGCATGTTGAAATAACCTGCATTTGTTCTGGAAGATTTTTCTTCCTCGTGAAAACGAGCTGGCCAGTTTTCATTTGATTTAGGGAAGGATAAGATTGTGTATAAAGCTTATTTTGAATACTATTTTTTTGAGGTAAGATTAAGCTTTTTAAATCGGTAGCACTAAAAGATAGAATCCGGAAACGGAAACGGAAACAGAAACGGAATACGGAATCAAAGATCAAAGATAGAAAATTAAAGAATTTCACATTGCATAATTTAGCGCAATCCAAAGAGAATTTGTTTTAGTTTTCTTGGCAGTTCTCTTAATATATTCTTGTTATTGTGTCTTGATAAGGTTTGCCATAGTGTGGGTTATTGCACTGCAAGGCCGATGAAAGTAAGTTTCCGAGTAATTTTTATTCACGAGTTTATGGGGTGAATAATACAGTTAAATATTACCTTTGTAGCTAAATGTCAAGAATAGTAGTAGTTGGCCTCAGACCACACCACGTGATTGTCCCCAAACTGACTACTCAACACATGACCGACCCGTGACGTGACCACATTTCGAGTGTTTCAGAAATAAGTTCAACTTTTTCGTCAAGCTGAATACCAGGGGCGGATCCAGGATTTTTCTTAGGAGGGGGTGCACCACTAACTGACCGATGACGTAAAAAAATTTTAAAAGCGAATACGAAGAAGAGGGCTTTTGACTAGGAAATAACATAATGTAAACTGTTGAGAATACGTATCAAACGATAGAGCAGATTTTGTATGTCTGTCAAGCTACTGCACAGTGTTAATTAGAAAGCGGCCGCAGGTCATCCGGGGGGGGGGGGGGGCGCACCCCCTGCACCCTCCCCCTGGATCCGCCCCTGAATACTGATGGCATACTGGTGTGCCGGTAATTGAGTTTACGTTGACGTCCGTATTTTTGTTGAAGAGGCTTATTAAACAAGGTGCATTATTTTGATGTAATCAGTTGCGGAATCAAGCAAATACATGCACAATTCTCTCTTCTCTTTGGACTCCACAATGCCATGGTTCTCTTGAGTAAGTTGTCTTGATAAATAAAACTGAACACTGTTGAAGACAACCCAAAAAAGACACTCAGGAAAAACTTGACGGCGACGCCTTTCAGTTATATAAACGACGCCGCTGTCGATTTAAACGAAGTCTGTGTCCACATAACTTACCTTTTTCTTAAGAAACTAGTTTTTGTCAGTGACGTTTTTCTCCTCGTTTTGCTGTCCCATGAGAATTTGCATTCATTGTCGGAAGTGGTAACAACAGTCTTTTCACCGGAATCGACTCCTCTGGTGATACAGCAGTCTCCTCTACCCGGCTAATTTATTCATTTCTGTCTTTTTTTAATCTGTTTATTTATTTTATTGTCATTGCTAACATTTTTTTTTCAA